CTCCCCCACCCTCTGCTGCCTAAGCCCTCTACCCCAGCATGGGGGGCACAGGTTCGAAAATGTCATGGGTGTGGGGGTGGCACATGGGATGGACGGGGTCCGAGATGGGGCTGGCTGTGAGGCTGGAGTGTGGGCTGGCACCAGGGTACCCTCCGGCCATGGCCCAGCTGCTCTGACAGCTCCCCTCACAGGACAGCCCTCCTCTCCTGGGGCTCAGGGTGGCCATTTGGTAAACCCAGCCTTCCCGCGGGCAGCCTGGGGCCGGCCCCCAGAAGCTGGCCTGGGGCACTTGAGGACCACCAAGCATGCTTCCAGCAAACTCAGGAACCTATAGGCCAGCAAGCCCCAAACCTCCTAGGACAGCTTAGGGGACAGCTGACCTGTAAGGGACACAGCACAGTGCTCCAGCAGGAAGGACAGTGCCCACGGCCCATAGCTCTGCATCTTTGGGAGCACCGCTGTGGGGTTCACCTGCATGGGAGCCCCCCAGGGCAAGGGGGCCAGAGCTGGCTAGGCACCCTCTTAAGAGGCAGTGAGGGGCACAGCAGGAACGTCGTGGGCACCCCGCCCTCCCAGCATGGGTGTGCTGGCTCCTGAGGGAAACACAGACGATGACAGCAAGCCCACCCTGGCTGCTACTGGCCCAGACTCCTCCCCACTGCACCATTGTGGCCCTGTCTCTCCATGGCACGTGGAATGTGTCACTCCGGGCTGCTCCCCCTGACCATGGGCTCTGGGTCGGCCTGCTTAGGGTGGCAGAGGAGGGTAGGGTCCCTGGGGGCAGGGAGTGTCGACTGCCTCACTGACCACCTGAAGCCTCCTGGGGAGACACCCTCAGGTCAGCACAGGTGGGAGGCTGGGCCTCTCCCCAGCACCCCGACGTCTCTGAGCCCCAGTGAGGGGCTCCCCAGAGCAGCCCTGCACCTGTCTGGACCTGGACCCCCCCACAAGCAGTGGCGTCTCCGCTGGGGGGCCAAGTCCTCCACTCCACCACGATCACCGCAGTGAGGGGTGAGGGGCGGGGGGCCAGGCATGTGCTATCAGAGACAGGCCGGGCAGGGCCAGACCCCACCTTCCCCCAGGCCCCTCACAACTGGGGGTGCAGGAGGTGCTGAGAGGCAGGGGCTGCAGAGTTCAGTACCAGGGCGGCAGGAGGCAGCGTCCCTTTGGGGCTGGTGACGGCCGCACTGTTTTTGGTGCTATTCGTCTGGGGCTGTGGAGAGAGCGGAGAGGAGCCCTTAGGTGGGAGAAGCGGCACACCACTCCCCTTCCCCGTGTCTGCCCAGCATGGAGGGAGGGGCCTTCCAGAGCGGGAGCCTCAGGGGCTGGGGGCAAAGCTGGAGGCTCTGGGCCCCCGGGCACCCCGAGGCCAAGCAGGCACCTCACCTTGACTCCGTCTGCTTTCTTGTTGAGTAAACTCTTGGCTGCTGCATTGGGAGGGAAGAGGCATCATGAGTGACAGGCCTGGGGCCCCCCGCAGCCCACCCCACCTCACCCCTTCACCTGCCTCCACTCTTTCCCCAGGAGCGAGGCCCGGTTCTCGGGGCAGGTGTGGCTTCTGCACCCAGGCTGGCTCTGAGCAGGCAGCTGGCCTGTCCTGGGGGGATGAGCCAAGGCTGCCCAAGGACCCTCGCCCCAGAACTGGCCCCTTCCCCAGCTGTCCTCTATGAGCCTGGGGCTCCCACGGGGCACCAGGATTTCTCCTTGGGTGCTGGGCAGCCTCCCAGCCCTGTGCCCCTTGGCTTCCGGGTCACATGCAGGCTCTTTCAAGAGGAAGGCGGGACGTGGGCCCCTCCTACCATAGGAACAAGGGATGAGCAGCACCATGTTGGGGATTAGGGCAGCTGAACTGGACACCGGAGAGGGGAGAGAGGGTCACACCCTCCACGGGGCTCCACCTCCCAGGCCAGGCATGTGTGGGCCGCCCCCGATCCCAGGCGCCTGCCCTGCTCTCGGACCCCTGCCGTTCCTCCTTCTGCACATGCCCTTGGCAGACAGGACTCAGCTCTGCACCAACGCTCTCGGCTTGGAGCACCCAAGAGGCAGCTTCGAGCTCCGTCCTGAGCTGCCCCGGGCAGCTCTGGCCTTGGGGCCACTTCTTGGCGGGCACTGATGGGCCAACACAGGCCTCATTGCCCACAAGCCTCCAAGGACCCCCTGGGGCGCAGCGACTGGGCCCCCACCTCACCCCAACATGCCTTGTTGGAGGTCAGGATAGGCCTGGCCCAGTCCCCAACATCTACACCCTCCATGGTGGTTAGAATTTTAATCGCAGAACAGAAAAAAAAAAATAGGAAGTCCGCTTACCTTACAGAAAAGAAAAGGTGAGGAAGGGAGGGAGTGAGGAAGAAGAGAGAGAGAAAACAAGGTTTGTGTCGGTTCGGGCAGGAGCGCACGTCTGCAGGCCCAGGGCTCGTGGAGACGAGCCGGGCGCAGCAGGGTCAGAGAAGCAGCCAGGCTGGACACGCGATGCGAGGGGACGACGGGGGAGGTGTGGGGTCCCTCGCCTCTGGGCCAAGCGGGGAAGGTAAGTGGCACAGCACCCCTGCGGCCGCGCAGGCCCTGACATCCGGTTCTCCTGCCTGCCTGGGGGGGCCCTGTGCTGCCCACACGGGCATGGGCAGAGACGCGGGACTCTGGGACTCCTTCCCGCTGGGAACGTACGGGCACACAGAGGCCTGGAGCCGCCGTGGTTCTCAAATGCCCCTTGCTCCCAGCAGCAGCATCACCCTGTACCATCAGAAATGCAATTCCCAGGCCCACCCTGACCTCCTGGGTCAGACCCTCTGGGGCGCTGAGCATCTGTCCCACAAGCCCTCCAGGCAGTCCTGACACTTGATGCTTGGGTCACCCCCCATTTCATTTCGGAGACCAGGAGGTCTTGCCCGCTGCCTGCTGGCTACATCCCTCCCTTCCCAGATGCCCACTGCCGCCCCCTGCACGGCCTGATCCCTCTCAGGCTGTGTGTGTGGACACAGTCATGACAGCCCAGTGGCTGCTAGTGACCCCGGGGACCCCGCAGGGTGGCCCTAGTGCCGCTGTAGCACGCGCAGTTTCCGTTCACAGCCTCCCCTCCCTCACAGATCTGTTAACTCTCAGAAGCTCTGTATCGAGCCCAGGGGCGCTCCCAGGATCCCTCAACAGGTCTTCCTGGAGTTAACCAGAAACCCGACGCCTGGGTCCTCCTCGGGAGCAGTGAAGGGGCACAGGCATCACTCCCGTCTCCAGGCCTGCCCCCTGCATTCCACCCTCCCAGGCCTGAGGCCCCCACCCCAGCGAAGCTGCAGCAGGACCACCCCCTGCCATGCCAGGGCAACCCTGCCCAGTGCGCTCAGCGACCAGAAATGCCGACTTCCCACTGCCCACAGTGCAGCCTGTGAAAAACCTCTCCCGCACTGTGGCGAAAAACTGCCTCCTGGTAAGTCACTGTGGAGGGGCAGGCCGGTCCTGAAGACTTGGGAACATGTGGCTCCTGGACAGCCCCTCCCCTGTCTGTGGACCCTACTCTCCCTCCTTCTTTCCTCCTCTCCCATGCACACGGCTCATCCCCAGGAATGCTGGCCCAGGCTGCCCCGTCTGCTCCCGGAGCAGGAGCCGGAGCCAGGCCCTGCAGAGGCTGCGCTGGGGCTCCCTGTCCTTGCTGGTGACAGCTGCCAACAGGGCTGGGGAAATGGGCTCCTCCCAGAGGCCTGAGGAAGGAGACAACCAGCCTCACCGTGAGGACACTTGCCGTGGCGGATGAGCAGACAAGCGAGGGCACCCCCATCCCTTCCAGAAACACACATTTCAAATGCGTGGCCAATCGAAATGGGCGGTTTGCAGAAGGCTGGCTTGACCCCCCTGCCGTAAGGAGAGCCACACACGCAGCCAGCCCGGTGGTATTTCTGGCCAGGTTCTGCACAGCACGGGCCAACAGGGGTCTGAGACTCGCCTGGGGCCAGCGTGGCACCCCTGGCAGTGGCGCAGGCCGGCTCTTCCCCTCAGTCCACCCTCTGATGACCCTCGCAGGAAAGGAGGCACCCGAGTTAAGCCCACGGGCAGGGTTGGTCCTAAGAGGGTTCCATTTATGTGCCCGAGTCCATCAAAACCCACATTTCCAAACTGCTACTGGAGACGTTAATAGCGTCAGTGGGGAAGAACAAGGACAGAAGTTCATAGCCAAGTGGGTGGGAAATGCCCCGCGTGAACCCGCCCTCCTCCAAGAACTCAGGCCATTGCCAGGGGCAAGGCTCTGGGAAGCCCTGCAGCAGACGCCCCTGTCATTTTAGTCAGTTCCCAAACACCCTTCCTGGTGAACCGCTTTTGTAAACCCTCACTGTGCACACCTTGGGCGCCATGTGGGGCCCACGGGCTGGGGCCGTCCTGAATGTATGGCTCCTGGCATTTCCCTGACATTCACGTCTCTGTCCTGGACTAGCTCCACATTCACTGTGGCCAGAACCCTGTTGACACCCATCTACACCAGCGTTCAAGGGCACGGGAGCGTCCCCCGTGCTGTCTCAAGTTAAAAGCATCGATCAGGTGTAGCAGGGACCAAGGCTGGGCCAAGCAGGCACAGGTGTCTCAGACACCCGGGCTAAGGCTCCAGTCCTCTGGAGGGCAAGGAGAGACCCTCTGCCCCCTACCCCGGCAGGGCGCTGCCCACTCCTGGGCTCTTCAGGCTGGGATGACTGCTGTCACCCCACAGCTGGCCAGACAGTGGGGGGTCTCCTTTGCTCTTACACCTGCTCAATGCAGGGCAGACTGCAACATGGTGCAGTCAGGGTCTCCCTGCTGACTAAGGGGGACTATGCCACACGGGGGGGGTCTGACCGACGGTACCAGACTCAGCCATCATCAAAGAAGTGAGACTCCCGCCACGTGTCTATGGGGTGCAGCTAAGCTGGGTAGACCTAGTGGGGCAGGTGGCCCCGTAGCACTGCCTCTGCCTTGCCCCGTTGCTGGTCACCCTGGACAGCCATGCTGGGCTCTGTCCACATGCACTGATCACCCTCCAAGACAGAGCGGCCCTCGGCGCCCAGGGAGGAGCCGCGCATGCACGGGCCTCATGCACCGTTGCCCCACGTTCACTTGCAGGCAGGCGGGTGGGCGTTGCAGCAGGAGCCCTGGGCAAAGGGCGGCGCAGAGGTGACTGTCTCTCGGCACTGTCCCTTGGGCAGCAGGGCCTCCCCAGGAGCCACTAGCCTCATCCTTTTCTAACCTCAGCCCCTTCCATATGTACCCCAGAAAAGCCTGTCAAATGAAGCAGACTCAGAAGTGCCCTCCCAGGGCGCCGCTGCTGGACAGGACCCCGGGGCTCATGTGAGGACACACTCCCTTCCCCAGGGACGGCCCGAGCCTCCCCAGGAGCGTTCTCTGGTTGGGAAGGCTGGGGTGCTCACCCACTGGGTAATCAGTGGGAGCTGGGGTGGATGGGCCTGGGGAGGGCAGTACCCAGGACCCTGAAGCCTTGTCCCCAGCCAATGCTGGAGGCATGACAGGAAACCGTCTGCATCTCGGCTCGGGAAGGACCCGGTTGGCCCCGTGTGCTCACCGGCTAGCTGAGGCCAGCTAAGCCTGCCCTACGCTCTCGCCAGCCCTCAGCTTGGGCTATGGCTGTGGTGCCCGCGAGGAGGTCCAGGGTCACCTAGCCCTCACAGGGTCTGCCCATGGTCACAAGCCGGCAGGCGGGCAGGAGCTGACTTGGGCCTCTGGGCTCTGGCCCTGGCTCCTGCTGGGGGGAGGGGTCGGCCCCGCAAGGCCCAGAGGAGCAGGTGGGCAGAGCCGGTGGGCAGAGCCGGCCTTCTCCCTTCCTGGTGCTTAGGGCCGGGTGAGGAGGACCTTGTAGAAAGACCCCAAGATGAAGCCTTCGAAGTCGCCTCAGTGTGCCCGGAGCCCCCTGGCGCTGGAGCAGCCTGTCCTGGGGGATTCTCAGGACAGACGTGAAAGTGTGGGACTCGGCAGCACAGACCACCAGCTCCGGGCAGGCCCCTTGGGGGCTGGTTGGGGATCGCCTTGCAGAAAGCACTGACCCAGAGCCCCACGGGCTCCCCTGGGTCGTGCCTCTGCCTCTCTGACCCTGCTCCCCATGGCTCTCCTTTCAGGAGTCAGACCCCGGCAGCAGGCCCAGGGGCTCCCTGCGGGGTCAAGGCCATTCTGAATGGGGAGTCTCTAGACCCCCAGATCTCAGAGGCCAGACCGGGAGGCTTGGTGTGGCCCAGGGATCACCTAGCCCAGCCCCTCCTCTTACAGATGAGGAGCGTGGGGGCTGCCTCCCTGCCCTCGAGGGGGGCTCTGCTGGGATGTGACCACAGCGGGAGCAGGGGCTCCCGGGGGCCTGGCAGCCTCTGGGGCAGCTCTGGAGCCTGGCCAGCAGCTGCGTGCAGCAGGGGGCTGCATGCTGGCAGGAGGGACAGGCGGGAGCGGGTGGGAGGCTGGTCAAGACACATCTACCTTGTTCCACCAGCCCCATGGTGGTGCCGGAGGCCGCGGTGGACATTGTGGCCGGAGCGGTGGTCTGTCTGCCCACTGTTAGCACCGGGTTAGAGACGAGGGGGAGGGAGGGGTGGGCGGACACAGACGAGGGGTGGGCGAGGTAAGGGAAGAAAAGAGACAAAGGAAGCAGAGAAGATTAGAGTTAAAGTTTAGGTGACCGATGGTTCCAGAATCCTTTTCTCAGGAGAGTGAAAACAAGATTGGGCTGATCGACATTGAAAAGCGTTTGCCTCCTTTCTCCTTAGAAAACCCCAGCGGGGGCTTCTCGTGCCCGCAGGGGCGTGGTGGGCACACAGCAGACAGGACAGTCCTATTAGTGTTGGTGTGATGCACCCGCTCCCGGTACAGTATCACAGCAAAAGTAACAGGATGGGGCAGGGAGGGGCGCCAGATGCAGACGGACAACGTGAGACGGATCACAGACGCTCGCACACTGAGTGTCAACGACGGAGAAGCCACGGGCACAGCTCGTCCAGGCCTGGGCCGCCGGCTCCACTCTGGGGCTAACGCCGTCCCCGGGGTGGGCCTGCCAGCGCCCTGGGCCTTGGGGGTCTCTAACAGACCCCCGGAGACCTTGCTTCCCCACCGCCCACCCTGAGTGACTGGGGCAGGCGGCTGCAGCTCGTCCAGACTCAGAAGGAGGCCCACGGAGCCTCCTGCGCCACCCCACGTCCCCTCTGCCTGCTGCCCGCACACGACACGGTGCTCAGAGTGCTCAGAACAACAAGGAGGCCACAGAGATGCCCAACAGACGCCTGGACAGACACACGCGGCACTGCGCCCCGGTGGTAGGCAGCACAGACACGTGTCGGGGCAGGGGACACAGACCTGGCACGAAGGTGATGGGCTGGGAGTGGGGGTGGCCCCAGGGGGCGTCGCCCAAGGAGAGAGCCCAGTTGGGCCAGGTGGGCAGAGGGGCTTGGAGCTGGTGCAGAGGCCGGTGGGGCCGGCAGCAGGGGGGGGCCGAGGGGCTCGTGGGAAAGGAGCAGCCTTCCTGGGCTGTCTCCAGGGCAGGGGCAGCCAGTCGCCCTGGAGAGGAAAGTCTCACCTGAGAAATTCCGCGTGGCCAGCATGGTGGTGAGGATGGCCCCCTGGGGAGAGACACAGACAAAGCCAGGGCAGTCCTGTCAGCGTCCCCTCCTGGCTTCTGGCCAGAGGCCCCCCCAGATGCTCAGGCTCACGGGCGCCTGGCACGATGCCATCATGGCCTCCTAGAGAGGCGAGAGTTCCAGGAACCTGGCAGCGGCACCACGACAGGTCACCTGCTTCCAGAATTCGCACACACCCTGCGCCCTAAACCAGCTGGCCGACCACGGCTCCTAAATGCTTCAAGACCCTGCAAGCTTCAGAGGTCACCAGGACCACCAGTAACCACAGCAGCTCCTCTGGGGTCTGGTTCCCCGATGGCTCCTCCTCTCCCTGACAGGCTCAGGGCAGTGGCGGCTGTCCTCAGGGCTTCGGGGATAACCACTTACTCAGAGACCAGCAAAGAGCTACCAGGCTGTTGATCCCTGGGCGCAGGCGTGGGCCTCTCCCTCGGCACCAGGCAGCCAAGGGACACAGCACCAGACTGCCACTGTCAGGGTCAGCTCTGGCCAGCAGGTGGGCCAGGCACGCTACTTGTGCCCACTTCCCTCTCCAGCCTCCCCGAGCCCACCAAGCCCAAGCACTCGGCTCTGCTCTCCTTACCAAACCTGCTCTGGGTCGGAAGCCTCTGGACTCACTCGAACTAAAGAGAGCATGCCTGCTAGAGGGTGTGTTCCGCCTGCAGAGCCCCAGGTGTGGCGCCTGCAGGGAGCTCCTTGGACAGTCTCTCCAAGGCTTCTTGGAAGCAGCATAGGTGATTTGGTGGCACTGGCGCTGGGCCTGGAGGCCAAGCCCACACCTGGCCCCAGGCCACCTCTGGGCTCATTCTCAAGCTGGACTAAGTTCACCTGCGGCATCTGGTCTGGAATTTGCCAACACGCAGAGTCCTGGGGGCACCAGCAACTGCTGGGCCTGCTGCCCCCCCCCCCACACCCCAGGTCTCCTTCCCTCCAGCATGGGTGCCACGGGGACGCAGGGAAGCACGGCAGTGCCAGGGGCTAGGGGCCAGTGCCTCACCTTGAGCTTCCTCCTGGCATTGAATTTCTTCAGACACTCCACTGTCTCCTGTCTGTGCATCATGGAGGCTACCGTGGAGCGTTGCTGCAGGGAGAGGGGCGGTCACATGGCAGCCAGGAGCCTGAGGGGCCAGGAGAGGCCAGGGCAGCAGGGCTCGAGGCATCCCGGAGCCCCCATGTGCTGAGAGCCACCAGCCACCATTGCAGCAAAAGGCCACCTGTCCCCATGGACCATCCCCACCTGCCTGTGACTCCAAGCCTTGTCCCTTCTGGCTTTGCCCACTCTGTCCCTCATGGACAGGACTGGGGTCAGGAGGAAGGGACCTGCTCTACCCTCCAATGCTCTCTGAGCCCCAACTCACAAACCCACCAGTGTGTCCCAAGCCAGAGATCACAAATAACACCCAGGGACACAGGGGACCTATTGGATACAAGGAACAGGACCTCAGGGCCCTCCTAGGGCTCTCGTCAGGGAAGTGGTCTGAAGCTACCTCCACCGGAAGCCCCTCCCCGCCGTGGGTGCCAAGGACAACTCACGCAGACCCACGGGTGCTTCAGGGCCTCGTGGGCTGTGATGCGCTTGGCGGGGTTGATTGTCAGCATCTGGTTGATGAGGTTTTTGGCTTCAGGAGTGACGGTGTCCCACTCGGGGGATGGGAACTGCAGGAGACAAGACACAGCTGAGTCTGAAGCCCCCTCCCCAGGCCGGGGCTGCGATTCTCATCTGTGGGCTTGGCCGCAGGTGGCTTCACCCCACTCCCAGCCTCTTCCCAGGCTGCCCCACCTGCCACACCCAGGGGTGGGGGGCAGGTCAGAGCAGGGTCCCAGGTGCACTCACGTCGTAGGCGCCGGCCTTGATCTGCTGATACAGCTTGTGCTGGTCCTCGTCCCAGAAGGGCGGGTAGCCCACGAGCAGGATGTACAGGATCACCCCTGTAGACGGAGCCCGTGAACACCGTGCCCACGCGCAGGGCACGGCCATCCATGGAGCTCGTGTCCTGCACCCTGACACCCAGCTCCCACGGCCCTGTGAGGGCACTGGGGTCCACAGAGTTCCTTTGCCCTCCGCACCGTGCTGGAGACACATAGGCAGAATGGCACAACCAGCCCCCACCACCCTGCCCATGCCCAGGCCCAAGGCCAGCCCCTCTGCTGTTCCCTGCCTCTGTGGGAGGGAACCCCCACCCAGGGAGGTGGCCCTGCTAAGTGGCCTGACAGCTACTCCCGTCTGCCCCTGTGCTCCTTCTGGCCCGCACCTCTGCTGAGTGCAGGTGCACACTGGGTGATGGGCCAGGGGTCACGCTGGCAGTTCTACTCTAGGTGAGGACGGAGCTCCAGGCTGTGCAGCAGAGCCCTGCCAAGGTTGCTCAAGGGCAGGCCTGGCACAGATAAACCTGGCTCAGGGCAAGGCGTGCCAGTCCCCTGCATGCTCCAGGATAGAGGTGGTGAGCCCCGACATACCCCAGAACACCTAAGGTCCCGCCATGCCCCAGGCCAGGTCTCACCACATGCCCAGATGTCCACGGGCTTGCCGTATGCCTCTTTGCGAAGGACTTCAGGGGACAGGTAGCCCGGTGTGCCAGCAAACCCTAGCCAAAGGGAAAGGGGCCATGAGGGGCCACCAGCACCTCCCTGCCCCCTGCCCACTGCCCGACGCCCCCGTCCCAGGCACTCACCAAACCATGCCTGCTGGTCCCCCTGTACCTCGATGGCCAGGCCAAAGTCTGCCAGCTTCACTGCAGCCCCTTTGCACTTGCTGGCCAGGAGCAGGTTCTCTGGCTGCAGGGAGATGACCGGCACGAGGACGAGTTGTTCACACCCGGGGGTGTTACAGCAAGGGATGCGGGTGACACGACAGAGACAACAATTTGCAGGAGGGGGGTACAGAAGTCTGACTCCTCTGCCCCGTGGTGTCCATAGGGCATAGCTAAGCCTTCACCCCTAGGCCTGCACCCCACAGCCAGTCTGTCCCGGGGACAGGGACAATAGCCCCTCAGCCAGGGCTCAGATCCCACTGAACAGGGGTTTGAGGGCCACTTGGACCAAAAGCTTGAGCTCACCCTTACAAGCAAACTCGATGTTCCCCACAGTGACCTCCAAAGGGCAAGGTGCCCCAGCATGCAGGGCAGCCAGGACATCCACCTGCCAGGCACAGTCCACCCACCAAGATCCCCCGGCTCCGGTGGGCCCCACCACTCGAGGCGAAAAGGAGGCCCCTGCTCCTTTGGGCACCCATGGGTAGGGAAGGCTCCTCAGGCCCTCCCTCAGGGAGCAGCGCCCTTGCTCAGGCTGGAGGAATGTGCGTTCCCTATCCTGTAGCAAGGCCAAGGAGGCTGCTGTCCTCAGACTGAGGACCCTTGACGCTGAGGGCCTCAGGGGCTCCCAGGGCTGCTGCATCCCCTGGGACCGTCCTGTCCCAGCTTCCAAACTTGGCAGGACCCGGCCTATCCCTGTGGCCTCGTCACCTACCAGCTGCTGTGCTCAGCGCCCCGCAGGGAGCTCTCTGCTGCTGGCCTTCCTAACCCTTGACCACCAGGGGGCTCCCTGGGACCTTCAGGTCCCCTTGGCCGGCCTCCCAGGCTGCCCTTCCCTTCAGAAGTGCCACGAGATCCTGGCACTTCATCCCCTCCGACAAGCCGCCTGCAGGGATCACACTGCCACTCCATGAGCCACTAAAAAGGACAAAACACTGCCACTCAACCTGCTTTTTAACACCGGGTGTAAATTTCAGAGATTTTTAAATGTGCCAAAGTGGCCCTTAGAGTGGATGAGCTACACTAACCCCACGTGGACAGACTCCTGCTCCCCTGAGCTGCGAGCGCCCCACACAACAGAAACCCAGAGCTTCCTCGGGGAGCTCCAGTCCTGCCCTGGTGGGGTGCAGTCAAGGCCCTGTGACCCCTTGGAAGTGTCAGGGGGCCCTGTCCCCCACCTTGACCTCTCCATCTCTTCAGGTGACAGGCTGGGACACATGCATCCCTGCCTGCTGAGCACTGGCCCAGAGGCCCCTGGACATCTCGATTTTGCCACCGTGAGTGGGGCAGGGTCCCACGCTCCCTGCACACATGCGTGGAGAAGGCTGGGAGAGGGCAGGGCCTGCGGGCTGGGGCCCAGCACAGAGCACACTCACGGTATGTGCCCCTCCTCGGAGGACGGACCAGCATTTCTTCCCAAGGAGAGGAAGGAGCATTAAATGAACTTGAAAGCCCCAGGCAGCCCCAGGCAACAAGGCCTGGGGGCCCCTGGAGGGAGCTTGGAGGCTGGGCCCACCCGCTGGGCCGCGCAGTGATGCCCCCACCTCCAGCCTCCACCCCGGCTCCCTCACGGTCCGCCATGATGGTGCCGACTTCCCTCAGCCACCCTCTGCCACGGGGTGAGTGAATCCGCCATGGTACCCCTCCCGGCTTGTCTCAATCCACCTGGTGGATTTCTATCCAAGAGAGGAGGGATATTCTGTCCCCCTCAACAGGAGGAGGGAGGCCACAGCAAGAATTCTGTCTCCAGAACGGGAGGGGAGCACTGACCTCCACTCCTATGCCTTGGCCTCAAAGGTAACTAACTAGGTCAACTGTGGGTCTGGGGACAAAGTGCCCATGTTCCCTCGCAGGAGAACCACTGAGTCCCGACAGGAGCACCTGCAGCCACCTCCCCCCAGCAGCCCGAGCGGGCCGGTCAGATAAGACAGAGGCAGGACCCACTCGGACGTGCACACCTGAGGGAGCAGGGCAGGCAGGGGCGGGCACGTGAAAGGCACAGGGGAGGGTTTTGGGTGTGCTCTTGGTGTGACACCCTCCCCAGAGCAGCTGCAAAGATCAGCCCCCCTCATCGATGGCCCAAGGAAGGGCGTGACCCCCCTGCATGCAGCACAAACATCCATGGGAAGGTTGGTCTTAAATGCCATCAGGGCAACAGGCCCAGGGGACGCACTGCCTGCCTGGCCAGAGAGGAGCAACAGCTGAACCAAGCCTTGGAGACGGTGGGGCAGGAGGAGGAGGGTGGAAGGGAGGGAGGAAGGGAGTAGACAGGAAGGGAAGCTTCTGAGAGGCTCTGGTCACCTTGTGTCCTGGGGGTGACAAACCTTTTGAATAGAGCCTGGAGCTGCTTTGCCCAGAGCTGAGCTGTGGGCAGCAGAGATGTAGAGAAAGGGCTGGGAGGACCTGGCAGAGCCAGGCAAGGCCTGCTCTCACCACCCTATTCCCAGCGGCATCAGCCCTCTGTTCCCCATGTGTCCCCACCTGCCAGGGCCATGTCATGGAGAGAGCCCAGAAAATGAGACCCTGAGTGGACATTTGCTAATAAACTGATTTCTGAAGACTGCCCCTCCCAGCCCTGGAGGCCTGGAGGCTTTGGGAGAGACGTGTGCAGACACCCCCACATGTGCACATGCATGCACATGTCTACACGCACATATGTGCAACACACACGTGCACACACAGCACACACCCATACACACACAGGCCCACACACATATGCACACATGTGTGCACCCACATGTACACATGTGTGCACGCACAGGTGCACCCACTTACACATACAAATGACCACTCATGAAGACATGCACACATGCCCCTCCATGTATGCACATGCATGCATTCCCACACATGAACGCGTACGCACACTCATAAGCATGTATGCACACGTCCCAACACTCACACAATACCTCCATGCAAACACACACACACACGCCTCCATGCACGTCTCCACACGCATGTGTCTCCACATTCATGTACACACATGTGCACATACACACACTGTGTGCATGCACGCATGTATACGCACACGTGCACACACCCCCCACACCTCCCCAGTGGTGCTCTGCACTGCCCAGCCCCTCACACCTCCTTATACACTACATGCAGGTATGGACAATAGACATCTGGCACAAATGGGCTGGGGACTCACCTTGAGGTCTCTGTGGACAACCCCCATTTGGTGACAATGGAGAACGGCCTCCAGGATCTGCTGGATGCAGTGACTGCAGCAAACAGCAGGCAGGTTAGTGCAAGTGGCTGGGGTGGGGCTGGGGAGGGAGCAGCAAGAGGAGGTGCTGGGGGCAGGGGCTGGAGTGCTGTCTGGTACTGGGTGTGGTCCCCAGCCTGGGCGACTGGGCGATGTAGGGGGTCAAGGGGAGAGGAGATGCTGGCCAGGAGGGGCCTATGGGGATCCTTCCTCACCCGCAAGGCCAGCAAGCCTGGCCCTGGTTCTGCCTTCCCCTCTGGGCCCGCCTCTGCTCAGGCCAGGCCCCCAGGAGGGACTTTCAGAGGAAACACCCCGTCCCCAGGCTCATGTTGGCCAAGGCAGATGCTCAGCTGGACGCCCTCAGGAGGCCAGGCTGGGCCTGTACCCTGCAAGGGGCAGGCAAAAGGGAGGAAACCAAGGCAGGGAAGGGCCAAGGAAGGCTGGGGGCGGGGGCGGGGCGTGTCCTGGTACGTGGCCCCTGCTTCACTCTGGAGCAGCAATGATGCACTCATTCACGTGTTATTTAGTCATGTTTAACAGATGTGAATCTAAGCTTCCATGCCTTAGATGGCTAGTGGCCGCCATGGTGGGTGGCTCAGTTCTAGCAGCACGGTGGGGCGGGGGGGTGAGGGGGGGAAGGGGAGGTGTGGAGGGGTCTAGCTCTGCTCCCAGGGGCCTGAGGGGCTGGGCAGAGGCCCTGTGTGCACAGCCAGCTCTCCTGGCATGGGGGCAGCCCTGAGCACAGGGAGCTTCCCTTTCAACCATTCCGTAGCCAAGGAGGGCTATGAGCAGAAGTCCTGGGGCCCTTCCAGGACATAACTGGCTGGGAGAGGCCCAAGCTGCCCCCAGGCCACCTCCCTGACACCTGTGCTGGAACACAGTAGATACAGGGTCACCCAGTCTCTGCACACTGAGACCCTGTGGTTGGAGCCTGCCTCCTCCCAGATGCCCCCCCACCCAAGGGGACACCTCCATGCCGCAGGGTGACAGCAGCTACCATAAAGCCTACCCTGCTGGGCTGGAGGCATTTGCCACAGGCTGCCTGGAGCCCACCTGCTAGAGTCTCCGTCATGAGCCCTCAGGCAGGGGGAAGGGAGGGACAGGCAGACCCCCTCAGAACCCCCTGTCCTAGCCAGATCCTGGAGGGGGTACAGTGGGGTGACCAAGGTCAGCAAGACAAGTGGGCTTTGTTTTTCTGATGGCAAACTCCGGGAGGGAATGGGAGTCCAGCCCCCTTCCTCACACAGCTCCCACTCCTCCTGGCCACATATGGACAGTGGCGGCCACTGCATTAAAAAGTGAACCTGAGTTTCCTCCCTAAGGACACCCAGCCCTCAGAGAATCCTACGGAGACGATGGACTCCTGAGGTCTGTGGGGTTCCAAAGGAGCCAGGCCCAAACCTGTAGGAGAGAGCCCCTTGGTGGCCCCCTTCAATGTCACCAAGGGCAGGAACCACAATCCCATAGCCACCCCCGTGCTCTGGGGTCTCCTGGCCTCCCATCCTGCCCCTGCCACTCAGGTTGGGGGCTGTGTCCCTGCAGCCAGCCTATGGAGAGCCACTGTGAGGAGCATCCACTGCCCATGCACCTCTCAGCTGCCTGGAGCAGTCCCTTGTCCGTGTCCCCGAGGAGCCCAGCCCCTGCTACTTTGAATGGCACTCAGCCCCCGCACGCCGGCCGGCCATCTGTGGCCACAGCAAGGCCTGTGACTGACCACAGCAGGCCGAGGGGCCTCACTCAGGTGGGTGGACTCCGCCTCCCGCAGTCTGCCCAGGACAGGAAGCCAGGGCTGGGGGGCTGAGGCTATGTGGTCAGATGTCCTCCCTGGACCCTGCAGAGCGCAGGGGGGCTCAGTGTGACCCTCCCAGGGGCCAACCAGCCCCTTCATGCACTGTTATGCAACATGGACAGCCAGATCCTGTGGTCACTCTGCGCCCAGTTTGACAGGGGAGGGAGCATAGATCTTGGGTTCCTCCTGCCCCAGCCATGGCACCCTTTTCTCCAGCCCTTCCTTGTGGTCTGCGACAGCCCTGCAGGCTGGCCTTTCCTCTGCCCTCAGGCGCTCTCCCCTTGGAAGAGATCTGTGTGGAGCCAGAAGTCATCAGGAAGTGCCCCCTCCCTGGACACCACCAACAGGGGCTCGGCCATGCACACCCATGATCCACTGCTGAGGGCGGAGTTGGCGCCTTCCTTGTTGCAATTCTCCAGCCGCAGACTTACTGAGAGTGTGGCGGGTCCTGGCTGCAGCTCCGGTCATGCCTGCTTCCTACCCCCTCCCCAGCCACGTGTCTCCCCGCCTCCACGGCCAGGGTGCCCAGGCCTCCTTGGCGTCCCCTGCTGGTGGTGCAGGGCCCCAAACTAACGCCAGAGACATGGCGATTGCTGAGCCAGCGTCTGGTCTACACCTCTCCATGGTGTCCACGAGGGTGTCACAGGGACTTGGCACATGTTACTGAAATCAAGGCCCTCCCCGTGCCTTGTCCACTGTCATGAAGGTTCCAGGTGCTGCACATACGTGACCATGAACAAGCCAGGATTCCCCAAGAGAGCCCTGTGCTGGGGCTACACCAGGCTGAGCTGACGATGCTGCCTGCAGGTGGCATGGGACACCCACCTGGCCCGAGAGCAGGCCCCCGCCCTCTGGGGACCTCTCCTCACATTGCTCTTCTCCTGGTCTCCAGTCTGAGACCACAGCCCTGGGCGGACTCGAGGCCCACTCGCTGGACATGCAGTCCCGCCTGCCCCACCTGTCAACATCGTACCGCCTTCTCCAGGCAGGGCCCACCCGTCTAGGGGCCTTTGTTCAGGTTCTGAATAGTCTAGGGAGTCTTTTCTGTGGTCAGCATTGTTCCCAAGCAGCATTCTGGACGTTATTCTCAGTTCGGGCTCTGACGTCCTCCCCCTGGGGACAGTGAGCACCTCACAGGGTCCCTTTGGGCATTTCTCATAAGCCATACTGCTTTTTAAGGTTTCTAAAGAACAGGTTCTAAATGTTTTGAACTCTGCTTCCCCTGATTTGAAAAAGACACGGACACTCCTCGGTTTCCCCATAAACTCCAAGGTAAAGGTCCTGCTTCCTCCAAGGAGGAATTCCCAGGCTTGTTGGTTAGAAAGTTCAGCAAAGTACTTCCTGTCTTGTTTCCTCTTGTTCCTGAGATGCAACTCACCCAGAAATCCACCGGGTGCCCCTTGGTCAGCAACTCTAGGCCCTGGGCAGGCAGCTGGGGGTCTGTTCATGACCCCCCGCCCCAGGCCAGATCTGTCTCACCAGGAAAGCCCCCCCCCACCTGCTCTGCCCAGGGGCTCGGCCCACTCCTGTCTCGGCACACCCTGGCTCTGTTCAGCCCTGGGCTCTACCGGGGTAAGCCGAGCTCCCCTTCCTTGCCACTCTCCTGCTGCGAGTTTGCCGCCGTGCCTGTGGGGTACAGCTCCCTGGGGCCTCCACACCAGACTCCGTTAGGCTGTACTGCCTGGAGGCAGAAGCACAGCCACAAAGATCACACCACCTCAGGCCACCAGGCTTCCCATCCCGGCAGTGCTGTCTCCCGGGGCAGGGAACAGGCTCACCAAGAAAAAGAGGAAGCCTGAGACTGTGTGAGCCCGCTGAGGCCTGGGCCCCGTGGGTGCAGGATACCCTGGGTGGGGCTGGAGCTGGCCCCATCAGCTGGCCTGCCCAGGAGGACTCTCCCCTCCCACCCACGGCCGGCCCCTCCGTGGCCCAGCCTCTGCCGCATCACCGCCTGGATCCTGACCCCCTCCATGGGACTCGGGCTGTTTGTCCCCACCTCACAGTCTGCTACTGAGCACCCTCCATTTGAGGCCCGAAGCCCTAAGAGAGACAGCAGAGTGCGTAAGAGAAAACTAGGGGTTTGTAGGTGGGACAGGGAGAAACCCCGGCCCAGAGCCCCCATATCGTCTGGGCCAGTTCCCAGGGACCCCAAACACCCAGGGGTGCCTGCCACATCGGAAGTGCCCTGGGCAGGAGGTGGGGACACTTGCCATCAGCGTGAGCAGGGAGCTGCCTGGTGGAGCAGAGGGCCCTTCCCTCCCGGCACTCTACAGTTTGCTCTGGCGAAGGTTCCCAGGACCTGAACAGCTCACGATCTCCTGATCTTCTTCCTTCCTGAGCCCACCCTGAGGCTACTCCAGTCCTAGCAGGGGTCCCCATGGCCAGACGGGTAGGACCCCTGCTGCTAGGCCAGGCATGGGGGGCTGCGTCCATGTCCATCGGGGACGCAGGCTGGGTAGGAGGGGCAGCGAGTGAGAAGTGGAGGCGGCGCCTGTGGACTGGACAGAGTGGCTGACGCTCTGGGAGGGAAGCTAGCTGGTGTGATGAGGACGCCACACAAGACCCTGCCACCTGTGGCCGGAGCCGCCTCCTCCAGCCTCTGCCTAGGGGTGGGGGCGTGGCATTCGGAGGTGGCTGACTCACAAGCAGCCCCCTAGATTGGGGAACAACAGGTGGAGTGGGTCCCCTGTGCATCTCCTTCCTAATACCTGATGAGCACAGGGACCCCTAAATCCCCCAGGGTGCCAGGAGGGATCCCCAGGAGCAGAGGGGGCTCCAAGGTTGGAGGACATTGACAAGGAGGTGAAGGGAGCATCAGAGAGGGCAGGTCACTGGGGGCCAGGGCAAGGCAGGGGGCAGCGGGGGTGGGGAACGATGGCTGGGGCACAGGCAGGTGTGGGTGTGGGTCATGGGAGGGGCAGGGGCATGCCAGACCCTGGGGTGGTACCCTGGGGGGTTCAGTCCAGGTGGACCCTAGGCTGTGGGGTCCCATCTGTGGCTGGGGGGCTCTGGGCAGCCACGTGCCCCACCCTTGCCTCTTTCGGCACCTCAGGGAACTCGGCCCACCCCAGGGCCCCACCTGCCCTGCAGGTGACTGGATGGGCATCAGGGACGCTCCTGTCTACCTGCCCAGCAGGCCCCCACCAACATGCCCTGTGCTGACACCCGCTCCAGCATTACAGGGCAGGAGGAGGTGGCTCCATTCCACTCGCCACTTTTCTTGTAAGTGGACTATAAAGAAAAACCTAGTCTCCCTCAACTCCAAGGGGACGGGCCACTTCCAGGCTGTTTGCAAAACCCAGGAGCCTAAGAAAAGAATCCAGTACCCCTGAGCGCATTGGGGATTTGGGGCCAAAAGGAGGGTTCCAGCCTTGTGTCTGTCCCCACCAGCCCCTGGGAGGCCATGGCACTGGGGCTGCACATGGCTGCCCAGATTGGGATGTGGCCTGCTGCGGTGGGCAAAGTTGCCGGCTGGTGCAGAAGCTAGTCACATCAAGCTATTTTTAAAAAATAATATTCATTTTTCTTGATTAGAAAATAATCCATACTCATTAAAGAAGAGTTTTTAAAATAGACAAAGAAGATAAAAAGTATAAAATCATCCATAACTCCACTTCCTAGAAGGGCCACTATTGGCCTTTTTTCTTTTTTAAATGCACCTCTCTGGGGCACAGTGTGGGCATAGCCCAGCGGGTGGGCAGAGTGACGCCCTCAGCTGTCCCTGAGGTGAGATGCACTGTTATGAGTGACGTCCCTGTCATGGGTCAGGTGTTATCTGGCCTGGGCCACAGTAGGCCAGCAGTGACCTATCCTTCCAGGGACAGGGGCCCTGTCACCTCCACAGCTAACATCTGCCATCCCTCAATCTGGCCCCCAGCAACTATGCCACAAACAACCATCTCTGAGACCATTGTCCCTCTTCATCCCCTGGTGAGGCTGGCCCCACGGGAAGGGCTTCCCTGAGGTCCAAGGGAAGCCCCGCCTGGATAGAATCCAAGTCCCCCCAACCCGCCCCCACACTGGGGGGCCCACAGGCCCGAGGCCAAGCCCTGCGAATGGGGCCTTGGGCACAAAGGAGAGGTGGCTTTTCGGCCCTGTGTGGGGTTTCGGGTCTCCCATGCCCAGTGCCTGGGGTGTGGGTCAGCAAGGAGGCGGGCCCTGGAAGGAGAATGAGTGGCACCTTTCCCAGCCAGCTGCCACCAGCAGGCTACCCACTTCCCTTCACTTTATACTCAAGCTTGGTGAGGACACCATGGAAGGGGAAGGGCATTTGGGAACTGCTCATCTCCATGGGGAAGGTTAGCCAAGGGGTGTCCCTCAGGGGCCATGGACCGAGACATCAAGAGGAGGGCAGCCTGCGACCACACACGTCTGCTGCTCCTCCCCAGCAGCCACCCGCTCTGTGCCAGTTCTAACCCTAGGGAAAATGGTGCAGGTCGGGGCCACTCTGCCAGTGGGAGCCAAGAACACACGGGCTGCCCCTGTTCCTTCCACTCATTCAGAGAGCTCCCAATAGGGCCAGGTGGGGCTGTTGGCCGGTGGGCAGACCAATACCCCACTCAGCTGGGGAGGGGACACTGCTGCACAGGAACAGATGTGGGTTGGAAGGGGCAGGAGTGGGGCTGAAGGAGGGACAGGCAAAGGCATAAGGGAAGTGGGGGCAGGACGGGGGGAGGGCTCCACACCCACCTGGCATCAGCCTCGCTGTAGTACTCTCTCGCCACAATGTCTTCAAAGAGCTCTCCACCAGTAACCCTATGGGAAAAGCAGCAGGGGTCACAGATTCTGGGGATCCCTGTCACCCTGTCTCCTTCATCACTATTGCCACCGCCATCACCACCATCATCACCGTCAGCACCATCAGCACCATCACCACCACCATCGCCACCACCATCATCACCATCACTGTCACCACTATCACCTCCATCACCATCACTGTCACCGTCACCGCCATCACACCATCACCACCATCACCACCTCCACTCTATCACCATCATCACTTAGGACTGACAGCTTACCAAGTGCTTACTCATATATAACGACACTTAACATTTCAGTCCTCACAACTATTCCATGACACTGGCGCCCATTTACTCTGTTTATGGATGAGAAAACTGGTTTCGAAGATTCAGGTGACTTGCCCAGAGTGGGCAGCAGGTAGCTTTAGCCAGAGCTGTGCAGTGTTATACCCAGGCCTGGTGACTCGAGCTCCAAGTCTGAGAAGATCCGGTCTCCCTTCCTCAACCTGCTCCCAGGGCCAGAGTTGCAGCCCTTGAGTAGAAGCAGAGGGGCCAGAAGATACGGTGCCCGGATCTAGCTTCCGCGGTGGGCCGAGGCCTTGAGGTGCTCAAAGTGCCATCTCCAGGAGGAGAGTAGAGATGACAGGCAGAGGAGAGGTCTCTGTTCACACACCCTCCTGCCCTGTGTCCCCACCCGGTAAGTGGCCATAAGGCCCCACAGTCAGGATAGACCCTGGCATGGGTGGGTGTTCACTCAGCGTTGGAGAAAAATAAAAGCGGGCAAGTGTGGAGTGTTAGCGTGGCCTGCTCCAGGCTGAACGCATGCCCCGATGGTTCCACTAACTCCCGACCCTTACGGTGACATGAGGATGGAATGCACGGAGAGCCACCCAGTTCCTGACACACGACAGGACATGAAAGGACTGGGGGTTCCCTCTCCTCACCCCTTTTCCTGTCCTGGGATGGGGGCTGGGGACAGGGGCTCTGCCTTTGTTACCCAACTGCTGGTGCTGTTCTGTGTCCCTCAGCACGCACCCCGCAGTCAACCGCGGAGTTCCGGCTCAGCTTCCCTCCCTCCTCTGTAGCTCTCTCCTCTCACTTCCTGTCGGCCATCGCCTGTAACCACTGACCACAAGGAAACAAAAGGATGTCTAGGTGGGGCCTTCCTAGGGGCATCTGGCCTGGCCTGTGTGAGGGTGTGTGCATATGTGCACACGTGTACATGCATACTGGTCTGTTCCTGTGCACATATGTGTGTGCCTATGTGTGTACTTATGTATACTGGTTTGTACATACACACATGTATGCATATGTGCCTTTGTGCTCATGCATACATGTATGGTTGTATGTACATTTATGTACATGTATATGTGTGCATATACGTGCACCAGTGTTCATGCATATTGGTTTGTGTGCGTGTGTGCTGTGTACGTGTGTGCATGCAAGTACATGTGTTTACACATGCAGTGCCTATGTGTGCCCTTGTGTACATGTATACCAGTTTGTGTGCACGCATATGTGTGTGTGCATGTGTATACATGTGTTTATGTGCATCTACATGCATGGAGCAGGAGGATCAAATCCCAGGTGTAGCCCAGGCCAGGGGCTGGCATGCCCCAGCGCTGCATGAATAACTATTTAGGTCTCAGCACACATGGCGCACAGATCAAGTACTATAGATCCTCAATTCAAGCACAAAATAGTGGCAAAAGGCCTCCAGGTCTTGAGTCTGGGCTGCAGCCCGCAGAAGCCCTCTGAGGAGTGCCTCGTGCGGCTGGCGCCGGGGCCCGTCGGGTGCACTATGTGCTCAGGAAGCTGCAGTTCAGGCTGATGGGCACCTGGGACTCCCTGGCCAGGACCGCCTCACGGGCGAGAGCTCTGGGGCAGGGAGTTTGTGCCTCCTCCTGTGCAGGTTGCTGTAGGGGTTTGGGAGCTTCAATACTGGCCCAGAAAGGGTGTGGTCTTGGAGGCTCCGCATCTGTCCCCCATGCTCCCCTTTCCTTAGGCCATGGGGGACACGTGGCCGATTCTAGGCTGCAGCCACAGCCCACATGGGAGCTGCCTTCCTCTGGGCGTGTAGGTGTGTGTGAGACCCTCTATGCCCAGGCCCAGTCCTCAAGCCCTGTGACATTTCCAGGCATGAGGAATGGGGACAACCCCCCAGAATCCACAGAGCCCCAAACTGCCGTGGGGCCTCAGGGCCTCCTGAAGGTGATGCCAGCCCACCCTAGAAACTGTTGCCCCTCCCTCTGCTGCCCTGGAGGCTGCTCACAGTGTGGGGCCATAGAGGTTTGGGAGGAGGGCATGCAGGGCCTTCCAGACTCACAGGCCAACTTCCTCTTCCCAGCCCGCCTCAGAGCTTCTCCCCACACCTGCCTGGCATGTGGTTGGCCAGCCAGGAGACACAACAGTCTATCATACGTGAACACATCCATGCACACCTGTGTGCACACACACCATTCTCTCTCCCTTTCTAAGCTATGGAAATACACACAACCACCTGTTGGCTACCAGGGGCCCCGGAGAGGGCCACCCCTGGCCCAGTGGTCTCTCTGTTTTTCTAGGAAAATAGGCTGGTGGAAGTGGGTCTGGGGCACACAGGGGCAGGAGTGAGCCTGACAGCTCCCCAGCGCCATGCGACAGATATTCTAGGGCACAGTCTTGGCTGAGCAGCGGTGGCTGTGTCCCAGGTCAGTCCCAGTCACCTGGCTGGCAACTGAAGGTGGTGTCTTGTGGGACACACAGTGCAACCTGAGTGGTGGCCAAGCCCCTGCAGGGACAGTCCCAGACTTTCTTGACCAGAGGACCCCACATGGATGTAGGCCGCCTCAGTCCTACATGCCCCATGGCCCAGTCACCTGTCATTTGAGGGAGGAGGAGCTGAGAGGGCTGCGTCCTGTCTTGGCCTGGCCCGCACACTCACAGCAGCCGCAGGGAGGGCACAGTGGTAACCATGGCAATAGCACCACAGTTGGGCTTTCCTGGCTGTGTGGCCGCCTAGAGGCTGCAACGACAGGCCAAGGCCTATAGGCCCCTTTCCAGCCCAGGGTCCCAGAGCTGCACTGACTCACTGACAGCTAAATATAGTGCTGCTTATCGGGAGCTGTCAAGAGTGAGGGAGATGAGATCACCGCTTCTAAATCCGGCAGGAAGTGAGAGGCGGCAGCAGCCCCAGACGCCTTCTCGCTCTGCTACTGCACATGCACACACGCACTCATGAGCGCACACACACACGCACACTCACGCACACACGCAAACACACTCATGCGTGCACACACACAAACATGCATGCACACACATGGACACATTCATGCAAACATATGCACATACAATCATGCATGCACACACTTGTGCAAACTCACCCACATGTACACACCTGCACATGCTCACATTCATGCAAGGCACACACACATGCACACCCACCTATATATGCATTCTCACTTTCACATGCTCTCACACCTGCATGTGCACACACATGCTCACACTCACATTCATACACACATGCTCACACCAGCCAGCGGTGCCCCAGTCCAGGCGTGATGATGGCACCAAGGGAAAGAAGGTGAATGAAGCCGCTGACTGTTCTTCTGAGGTCTCCCTCTCCCCCCATCCCCCACGGCCTCCAGCACGCTTGTTCTGGTGCAGGAGGACCCAGGATGGCGGTCCAGCCTCCACAGGGCCCAACAAACCTGGGGCAAAGCAAGGAGAGGCGAGGGAGGCTGGGTGGGTGGCTTGGAGCAAGTGACCCTCAGCAGCAGAGGTACACTTGAGGGAGTGGCCCACCCCAGAGCTCAGAGCTGTCCCCTGGGGCTAGGGGACCCACCCCGGCCAATGCTGGGAGCGGGTGAGGGCAAGAGGCTCCAGCTCTGGAACTTACAGATCGAAGACCAGGTAGTGGAAGCCCTCCTCCGAGATGCTGTCGTGGAGACGCACTGCGGGGACAGAGAAGCTGTAAGGGGCTGGCAGTCGCCCAGGACACACCCCACTGCCCGCCTCTGCATCTGTGCAGGCACGGCCAGCTGCGCAAGCCCCGGGGTCTGGGTCTCCCTCAGGACAGGGTGCGGAGGCCCTTGGGTGGGCTAGAGGGCAGGGCTGAGGGCCCTGCAGGCTGGCCGGCCACTAGGGGGCATCTATGGGCCTCTGGCAGTGCCCTGCCTTCCCTCGGCCTCAGCCACCGGTCTGGTCTCATGTTTCCTTCTGCCCTCATGGTCCTCGCCTGGGCCTCAGCTGCTCCCAAGCACCGAGGAAAGCAGCAGGAGGGGATCACACAACCGGTCCCCAGAAAGGGCCACTGAGAAGCTTCTCGTGGGACAGAAGCTGGGATAAAAACGCACCCATCGTTTCCCCGGGGCCTTCGCGGGCTGCCCTGGGCCCTCAGGCTCCCAGTCTCTTTTGCACGCTGTCGGCACAGGCGGACAGGCAGGGCCCCCGCCCGGAGGAAGGCTGCCCGACAAGGTGTCATCCAAAGGTTCAGGCCCTGAGTTTAGGTTCCAGAATGTGCACGGTCAGCAGGATGGAGCGATGTCCCTCTCCCCTCCTGACAGCCACCGTGTGCACAGCTGCCTGCGACGGTCTGTGTGCGCCACGCCCTCACCCCGCAGCTCTGCCTGGTGCCGGGCAGGAGCCCAGCAGGATGTGATGAATGAACAAACATGCGCACGTACGAGGAAGGCTCGCAGGGACAGTGAGTGATTTCCGCACGAAGCACACAAACCCAAGGCCTGTTTTTCCTTGAGCTGGAGACGTGCCCTGCACTGAGCAGCAGATATTTTCTAGGAATGACTCATTTTGGACACTGCTCTCCCACGTGCTGACTCTGCCCGCTGCTAGAACGACGAGGACAGTGACAGCCTGCCGCGCGGAGCACTCCCTCCCTGCCCACCAGGGCTGCTGTAAGCACTCTGCGTGTGTTAATTCAACCTTCTCAAGCAGCCCCCACCCCAAGAAGTTACGGATGAGGAAGCTGAAGCACAGAGAAGTTAAGGTTAAGGTCACAAAGCTCACAGAAGGCAGAGCAAGGTGAGGACTCAGGGCCAGTCTGCGTGGCACTGGCCTCAGCCCTTGCTACTTGGGTCCTGGGAAGACAGGACGACGAGGCCTCACTGTCCCCTAGCACTCCAGATTGGGCCACAGGCGCTGGCAGGGTGAAGAGCAGCCTCCTCCTCCCGGTCCGCAGCCCCTGGGCCGCAGGCGCAAACCCCTACTCAGCTGCAGCCCCTTCCGGCCACCCGCCAGCCAGCGCTGTCCTAGTTTCTGAGCGGCTGCCAGTGCCTTTCCTCCTCTGGCTCTGCCTCTCCCAGGGGCCCGGCCCCATTGTGTCCTTCTGCCCAGGAACCCCAGCATGGCCCCTGGGGCCCGGGCCTCGCCTCGAGGATCCCTGCGTTGCAGCAGCCCCAGATCAACGCCCTTCTCAGCACCCACCCCTCAGACAAAACACCCTCCACGGAGCCAGAAATCGTAGTGCCAGCCCCATCCCGCTACTTGTTCCTGCTGTGTGACCTCAGGCCGGTAACTCAGCCCACCTAAGCCTAAGTCTGCCCCTCTGTGAAATGGATAAATAGCACCTACTCAAGGGGTTGTGAAGATTGATTATGTAACCTGAGTGAGGCTCCAAGGCACAGTGAGTGCTCAGTAAGCCACAGCTCTGTTACTGTCATTGTCACCATCCTCCGAGTGTGAGGAATCCCAGGTGACCGAAGCTCAGCTCCAGGGTCTGGGGCTCACTTTAGGCACCTGGGATGCTTTCCCAAGCTCAGAACAGAGAGACCCGCTCTGTTTCTCTGCCCCAGGCCCAGCAGCCCAGACTTCTCCCCTCTGCCCTCACCAGCCCCTCCTCAAACAGCCAGGTCTCCCAAGACCCACGTCCTCTGTCAGCTCTCACCCACTGGCTGTCCACAGGCCGACACTGACCTTGGCCAAGCAGAGCCCCCACCAGCTAAAGCACTCCCTGTGACCAATGTCCCCCCTTCCCACACGGCACCCTCCGGCCGACTTCTGTCCCAAGAGGAAGGGCACCCTCCCACTTGGCTCACTGGACTCCTGTTCCCTCTGGATCCCCTAAGATACAGCAGGACCCCAGAGCTGACCAACAACCTCCTTCCAGGACCCTCCATAAAATCACTGCAGTTAAACTAAAGCTCACCCTCTCGACCCCTTTTCTAGTGGGGGTCCAGCAGGGTGGCTCCTCTGAGCTGCCCCACCTGGGACCTGCTGCATGAAAATCACCCACTTGGAGCAGAGAAGGCCCCAAGCCATGGAGAGAGGCGCCCCGCGGAGCTCCCACAGGCAGCGCCAAGGAGGCCCTGGTTACCCACGAAGCCACCGCACTGCTACTGGGGTGCTGCAGGGCCATCCTCTTGGAGGGGGCTGCTCCTGTCCTCAGGCACCCGCCACCCCATGCGGGCGGCAAGGTGGGGTTCGGGCAGAAGCAGACGGGCTCTCAGGCACGCTGGGGTGGGTCCCACCTCCTCGACACCCGGGGTCAGTGTGGGGAGTTGAGGCAGGATGCACATGGACACCTTTTTATCAAACATTTTTTAACATTTTATAAATAGTTACATACTTACATGCACTTTTTACTGGTTTAGAAGAAACCCTAACTAGCACATCAGACCCGTGATTTCACAGACAGGGCTAAGTAAAAAAGTGAATTGGCAGAAAATCTATTTAAATAAAAGCAGTAAGCAAGTTAACACTGTGAGCAGAGCGCAGAGGTGGCAAATAAATAAAGTCCTGGGTCATACCTCAAGAGCGCAGTCTGGAAGCCCTGGGTTAGGTGGACGGTGGCAAATCTTGCCGGGCGGAGGGGGGTGAACCTACAGCGCTCGACCACCTCACGGGAGGGCCTCAGGGACACGGCCCCTCCCCTCTTCCTGGCTCTGTGTCAGGGCTCCCCTCTGCTGAAGCCACCCTTTCTCTGGGGCTGCACCCCTGCTGGGCAGAGGCTCAAGGGCCCAGGACCCTAACAGCCCGGCCGGGGCTGCAGCCTGGCCCTGGGGCCCAGAGCTGGGGCTCCTGTTTTCCATGCCGGGAACCTGCTGGGTCCGAGAAGGGAGCATCTGACCCTTGGGTGCGCATCTGCCCAGCTTGTCAGTGGAGCACCAGGAGAGGGAGGGTGTTCTAGCCCCTATGCCAGTGAGGATTTGCCAACTCCCTGAGCCAGGCCCAGGCGAGTATGTGGAGAGCCCAGGCTCCTGAACTGGCTGCACCTCACAGCCCCTGGATATCCCTTTTGAACACAGATTCCTGGGCCCCATCCTGGCACAAGTGATTCAGAGCTTTGGAGAGTGGAATCCACCTGGCAAGCTCCTCAGGTGCCTCTGGGGCCAGAGTCAGCAGAGAGCGGCCGCCGCCCCAAGGCATCTCCTGGCTGCCCTGTGACATGCGCAAGGCCTGAGCTCCTGGACTCCTCAGAAGTCCCCAGAGACCAGTGTTGGAGAAGGACAGGTAGCTGGACACACGCACACAGGTATGCACATGCACACGCGTGCTCCACAGGGGCTGCACAGCAGGCATCAGCCTGGAGCCATGGAGGGCGGGTGGGCAGGAGGGCCGAGTGACCCTGGGAGATCCGAGCCAACTTCCAGGGGTCGGCACAGTCTGCAGTCCCCAGAGGTCCCAGAGCTGCATTTATTACCCCGACATGGACTCGGTCTGGGGCTTCAGGGAGGCCACCTGCAAGCAGAGGACCTTTACTCCCTGGGGCACTCGCTCCGTGTGGCGGGTGGGCTGCCACCCAGATGCAGGCAGGTGACAGGGCTGCCAGGAAGAGCCAGGCCGCTCATGTGCCGGAGCCCACCTCTCCTTGGCAGGGCCAGCAGCCTCAGTGCCAGAGACAAGGGCCAGCCCAATCTACCTCGGAGACCTTCCCCACGTGCCCGGCCAGCGAGGCTTGGACCAGCCACAGGCCCGTGGGCTCCAGGCTCCAAATGACCCCGTAGGGCAACTGACTCTGGGACAGTGGGCCCTCCTCCCCAGGCAGGAGTTTCAGAAGCCATGGACTAGCAAAGGGGGACAGTCAGAGGCTCTCAGACCAAGGCTGCGTGTGGCAGGGTCTTTGATCAGACTTTGTTTTCCAAACTTTTTAATCTTTCCTTTTGTATGAGGCCATCTTGTGGCTTTTTTGAAGTCACAGAATGTTTAGGTCTCTGTGTGTTCTCACCAGAATCACTGCTCAGTGTTCTGGGGAGTCACACGCTGGGGGCTGGCTCCGTGGGGGGCTCTGCAAAGAGTGTGTCATTTACTTTTCTCTGCAGCCATTGTCACCGATGCCACAGATGAGGACGCACGGACAGAGTGGGGTGGGGAGAGAGCCTGTCCACTTGTGTGGAGCTGGGCACCAGAGCCCTTCCCCTGATCCCAAGGGGAGCTGTCCCCGCTCTGCAAGTCTCCGTCAAACAGGACGGAGCCCTCAAGGTGGGGGTGGGGGTGGGGGTGGCAGAGAATGAGCTTCCTCAGGGGCTTCAGGTGGGACATTTCCTTGGAGAAGGAGAGGAAGTTCGGCATCCCTTTGAAAGTCTGATACAGAAGCAGGAAGGGGCTGCTGTCTAGGAAAGGGTGGGGACCTGCCTCCGTCCCTGGGGGCCGCTCACCGATGTTGGAATGCTTCAGAAGGCGGCAGATCCGGGCCTCTCTCTCCAGCTTCTGGTGATCTGGGGACAAAAAAGGAAAATGTGTCACCTCCTGCCCCAACAGCCGGTCACCCATGTCAGGAGAGGCCCTTGCAGGTGTGCAGGGGCTGCCAACCAAGAGAGGAGTGGAGGTGACCCAGCAGCAAGTGACCGTGCCCACCCAGGGATGCCATCGTGGCACCCCCTGGCTCTTCGTGGCAGGGCTGAGCAGGGACGAAGCAGCAGGTGTCTGGGGTGGAGAGGCCCATGGGAGGCCGCGAGTGGTGCTAACTTGGGGCTAAAAGTCTCCCCAGATGATTCCAAGAACACAAAGTGCTGCGTATTAGCAGCGAACTGATTTAATGCTTCACTTATTTGCCCTAATTCCATACTTGGAACTTTCTGCTGAAGCCAAGTCTGTTCTTCCCAGGCAGCGGTGGGGTTGGCAAAATGGGAGCGGGTGGGAGTGAGGGTGTGCCCTCCGCCCGCTGGCAGGAGGAAAGTTGAAAGCAGCAGTGGCTCTCCTGAGCAAGAGGAGCGAGCTGGCAGCAGAGCCGAGTGCCGTGGCCACTCCTCTCCCCTCCAGGGCCCAGGACCGGTGCTGGGCAACAAGAGGCCTAGAGACACTGGGACATCGGGTGCTTGGGCCCCATCTCCAGAGCAGAGGCCTGTGCCCCTAAAGGATTGAGCAATTTATCAGCTAGAAATTTATATTTCAAACAGGTGCCAGGAAGATTTTAAAATCTGATGGAGACTGCAATAGCAAACAAAGAAAAACCCCACATTTCCACTGACAGGAGAAGGCAGGACCCCACGTGGCTATAGTCACACACAGACACCGGTACAGCAAGGACACGAAGGCCTCTGCCACATCCGCCCCAACATCCCAAAACGGTGCTCGGCAGAAAAAGCAACGGCAAAGGAGTACCCAGAATGTGCCTCCTTTACATAAAGGGCGAGAGTGGACAGTCGCTGGGGCACAACCACGCGGGGGGGCACCCTGCACACAGACGAGGGGGCTTTCAGAGCTCAGGACGATGGCTGCCCCTGGGGCGGGATGTGACTGGGGAGGGGCATCAGGTCTGCAGCCCCCTACCCTGCGAGTGCCAAGCTCCCCGGCAGGACAGGTGAGCAGGGCCGAGGGGCACAAGACCGCAGGGGGTAACTCCTGCACCGAGGGAACACCAGTAGCACCCAGGCAGGGAAAGAATGCAGCTGCTACTTAACACAGATCCCTGTGCTTGGGGGGCACAACCCACCTGCAGGAGGGAAGGCCTGGCCGAGGCACGTCTGTGGCCACTTCCCCTGGGGTAGGTGTGACAGTGGTGGTCTGGGGGCACAGGACATGCTTGCAAACATGCATGTGTCTTTCTTGAGTGGGAAAGCCACACCTGCTGACAGGAACTGCTCTGGAAATGGTGTCCACTGGCTCTTCCTCCCTCCCAGGACAGGCACTCCAGCCTCCAGGAAAGGCCGTCCCCTCCCTGCCCTGCCCTCCTGGCTCCTACCTGCCTTGGCTCAGCAGCCTGGCACTCCACGGGAGGGATCCAGAGGGGTCCGGCAGAACCTCCAAGTGGGACGGAGGGAGTCAGACCCTGCGCCCTGCCATGCTGCCAGCAGCCCAGGTATCCCCTCTCCCCACCTGCACGCCCAACGCGGCAAGCTCTGTGCCATCTTCTGAAGCACACCCAACCCCCCTCACCCTCCCCGCTCGAGTGGGAGCTGAGGCAGGGCGGCATCCGTGATGGCTGAGACTGGAAGCAGCCCGTGTGTCCGGCAATATTAGAATGGATCGATCAAACGCAAGCACAACAGAACGCACATGGTGTGGCATGCGTGTTTCCCTCTGTATGAAACTCAAAAACAGGCAGCACTGGACATACCTGGGGGGGCCATACACACGAGGCCCAGCTCTAGCGGAAAGCAGGGGACCGGCCACTGCAACATCCCAACCCCCTTCCCTCTACAGGTGGAGTCAGGAGGGCTTCAAGGGTGCAGGGCGGTGAGTTCACGGGGCTGCTTTTTGCTTCCGTAATATCTTTCTCCAAGTTACTACTCTGAACATTCGTCAAACTTAGAGAAGCGGCGCGAGGACCGCACGGCGTGCTCGCACACAGCTCTTCGTGCTAGCTCCCCTCTCCGTCCGCACGCACGCACTTGTTTCTTCTGAAGCATCTGAGAGCAGTAACACGAGGCACCAGACGTCCCTTACATAATCCCAGCGCAGGTATCAGATGCAGCAAATCTAGTGCAGAACCACACTCGTCTCTCCACTCCACCTTCCCAGTGACGCTGACGGCTAATCCGCCCCCAGGACAGGACCTCTCCCAGATAAGGGACAGCACTGGGGCCAGGCTGAGGGAAGGGAGAACCTAGGAGGGTGAGGTGGGCAGACCAGGGTAGATAGTTTTCTTTTGGAAAATTGTCTGATTATAGTTAAATAAATAAAATCATAAATAAAAATCAGGAGGAAAATGCAATTGTGAATCCATTTTCCTGGGACGCGGATAATTTACAGGGCTGTGTTTTATTACGGAAACATCTCTGAGAGCAGAGCCCCAGCCACAAGGTCGTGGCTACTCCTGAGTGTGTATTTAGGGAGACGAATTGTCGGTATGGAGCCAGGAGAGGGCACCTGGCCACACAGCGCTGGCACGAGGTGTCCACCCACAGTCATGCAGGGCACCGACGCGTCCCCTTTCTGTAACTCGCACAACGGCACCTTGGCCACCTCTCCTGGCAGCCCCTGTGGGGCAGTGCTCAGGGAGCCACTGTGACACTCCAAACCTGTGGTCCCCAACCCCAGGTACTGGTCTGTGGCCTGTGAGGAACCGAGGAACCCGGCTGAGCATCTCAGTTCCACCCACCCCCCACCCCCCCATCTGTGGCAAAATTGGCTTCCTTGAAACTGAGGAACTGGGCCGCACAGCAGGAGGTGAGCTGCGGCGAGCCAGTGAAGCTTCATCTGTATTCACAGCCGCTCCCCATCGCTCGCATCACCGCCTGAGCTCCGCATCCCCTACGCTCCGGTGGAAAAATTGTCTTCCATGAAACCGGTCCCTGGTGCCAAAAAGGTTGGGGACCGCGGCTATAAACCAAGACACAAAGTCAAAGCTGGTAACACCCAGACACAACGTTGTATAGATGTTAACAGTGCTCCACTCTGGGTGGCAGAACTGTGAGTAATTTCGTTTTATTCTTTATACTTTCCCCCCTCGAGGTTGACAATGATCACGAGTTACTTTTACAATTTGGCAAAACGTGTTTTTCAAAAAGATTTTGATCCTGTCTCCAGTGAGCAAGCCACTGGTTCAATGTGATGAGGATGTTCCATAAAATCTGCTATGGGAACATTTGCCCTCAAATTTTAAAACACCAGGCCAAGAAAGAACATCTAAGCATGAGGGGAGGGGCAGGAGACGGCCGTCTCCACCCGGCTCCAGCAGCCCCATCGCAGGACAGGCCGCGTCACGGTGGGCAAGAATCCAGCTCCCGACTCTGTGGACACCCTGTGATTTTCTTCCTACGAAGTCAGGGACGTTATTCCTGGATGCCAAATTAATGTCACAACCCCTTGTCATGGACAAGGTTGAGTAAGTTAAATTTAACCCAATTCAGTCCCCAAGAAACGTGTGCTGGCTCTAAACGGTCCAGTGGAACCTGGGAGGACCCCGGCTGCCTCCTGTTGCCTGCCCCAGGCAGTGACCCAAGTGGCCACACCTGCCCGCCGGCCTCATTCTGGGGGGCTCTGGACCCTGAGGGACCCACCTGGACTCGGGAGACCATCGCGGTGGCCACTGAGCAGGACCAGACTCCAGCGGGCCTGCAGCGAGAACGCAGCCGGGCAGCCACGGCAGCTGCCTCAGATGCCCACCCTGCCCAGGGCCCCTTGGCACTCCTGGGACCCCAGCCCCGGATCCCATCGTGAGGGAGGTCCCAAAAGTCCTCCCAAGCGGCTGGGCCCACTACAGCGATGTCCTGGCCAGGGCCAGGCAGTGAGTCACCCAGCTTGCCCACCAGGAGGGGCTCCCCAGATGTGGGGGCCGTGGAGGTGGAAGACCAGGCCGGCCTCGAGCCCAGCCCCAGGGCTGTGTCCAGGGTCTCTGAGGGGCCTGGGCTGGGGGTGCTCAGGGTCACCTAAGGCCTGAGATCGTCCTCACTGCCATGTCCCCCAGCCGCAGGGATATCTGTGTGGTTAACATTTTACTGGGCAGTACTGATACATGTCACAGGATAGATGTCACACCTTCGTGGCTTGTGAAACCAATGACAAGTAAACCCCAAGAACATGCCTGACGGGGCGGTGACCATCGACTCCCCAGAAGGCGTTAGGTCTCCTCAACCCCATTGGTGTCGGGCCCCATCCGCATGACCACACGCGCACCGGCTCCAGGACCTCGGTGCCCTTTCACGCCGAATTTCCCCTGGAGGACAACCTCTGAAACGGGATGTGGAACAGAAGGTAGGAGCCAGAGAGTGGGCACAGGCCAAGCCCCTCTCAACCTCCAGGGAACCCCACCCATCAAGGGAAGGCTCCTCGGACCTTCTGCTCTCCATCTTCCTTCTCTTACCAAAAAACCCAGCACTGATTGAGGCCCTGAGGCTCCTTGGGGAGACAGACCCTAGGCTGCAAGGAGCTGGTGACAGCAGTGATATGAGCCCTTTGTTAGGGCAGAGAGATGAGCAGAGTGTCCTGAGGCCCTGATTCTGCTTGCGGGAGACTCAAGGGGTGATGCTTGAGTGGGGTTTTGGAGGATGAGTAGGAGTTTGTCTTCTCATGCTGGCAAAAGACTCGCTTCTCACACCCTCCTCTAGCGCGAAGCTTGGAAAGAGAGCTCATGAGTTCAACCATCTCCTAAATGCTTGGGCATCTAGAGAATCTGCACCCCAAACAGAGACAAGGGCATATGTGTGTGGGCCTATACTTAAGCCAGAAGATGGCTGGCTCATTCAGCTTGGAGGCAATCCTACACACACGCACACATGTGTACACATTTATACACCTGCTCCCCAAGGGGGCTGGCTCAGAGAGATGTTGGCAA